CAAGATGGGCAGTCTTTTAACCTTAGATGTCCATGACTTCATTGGGGGAGTAACCCAAGACCAGTATTGGGGGCAGGCAGAGGGGAGTTGACTATCCTTTAAGTGAGGACAGTAAAACGTTCTCAGAGATAGGTGGCTTACAGTCGCACAGGGAGCAGCCATGTGCGTGCAAAAGGCATCTTTAAAGTAGCACTATTATGGGGGGATATTGTAGGGGTGATATTTAGTATGGACAATGTGACTGGGAATCATCTCTAACTCACCAATCGGAAGGCCTTCCTCCACCACAGTCGGCCTTCCAGACTCTGAATTGTGAGCATAGACAATTTGGCTGCGCACACTCTCTTCCGGGTCCTCAGTTTCCCACGCCATTGATTCTGACTCATGGTGATTCTGCCTGCCAACAGAACTGTACTCATTAGGCTGATTTTTCACAAGCAGATGACCAGACCTTTGCTTCTGAGATGCCTCTGGGTGGATTTGAACTTCCAAACTTTTTGGGTTAGTAGACAAGTATTTTAACATTTACATTTCCCATGGACACTCAGAGTAAAGTCTTTTAGTTATACTTAATTAAGTACAGTCCTTAACCATAAATTTTCATGCTTGGGCCTTATCTCTTTAAAAAAAAACAACCAACAAAACAAAACCCAAATGCTGCCGTTGAGTCAATATGGACTCATGGGCATCCCCTGTGGGTTCTGAGACTGTAACTGTACCGGAGTAGAAAGCCCAGTCTTTACTTTTCAAAGTGGCTCATGGTTTCCAACTGCCAACCATGTAGATCACAGCCCCTGTGCGTCACCACTACTCCACCAGGGAGTCAGCTAGCCTGACACGGCATAGCTATCTTGAATTTGCAAGCAACCTTCCATCTACACAATGACCTGGCACACTGGTGGCTGGCAATGGGAAAGATAAGTTCCTCCCTTGTTCTCCTTACTCTCCTGCTGACCAGATATGTAGCCAGCACCTGCCATCTCCCACTCAGCAGCCAGTGACATGTTCTATTTAAGCAGCCCTGCTCTGGCTGCAGTCTGAACATTACAGAAAGAACTGAAGAAAATTCAAGCCTTGAGTTGCATTATTGAAAGATTCTATGGGCAAGAATGATGCAGGAAGCGTCAGAAGATTGGAGGAATAGATAGAATCACCATCCCCAAAAGAACTGGTTGACACCCATCCATTTCAAGGAAACTAAAGAAAAAACCCAAGGTGTACTGAAAGTATTGAAAAACAAAGTGATAGGTAGTTAGATGTAGGGGCAGGGGGTTGTCCCTTCCATGCCTTCAAAGGCCTCCCACAGAGGAGGTTGGAAGGAAATCAGGCAACCATTAGACACCTATGAAGACCCCAAAGTGAGCATGTGCCTACACAAGCCCCCTAGCCAGGTGGGAGGTACACCTGGGGG